TCATGTAATCATTGTTTTGATATTTTGTAATCATTATTTTGTAGTTAATTGCTTGATCAGATGCTTTATATATATATTGGAAAAGTAAGGGCTTCATGCTTTAGGTATAGGTGATTGAAATAATTGTGGAGTAAATTTTATCTTTTTCTTAAAAATCTTTTGAATGTTCCACCAAATCTTAATCCAGAAAGCTTTTATATTTCTACAAGTCCACCAAATATGGAAATAGGTAGCATCCAAACTACCACATCTCCAACATTTGGACTGTAAATTAGGATACATACAAGACAACTTTTTAGGATCCAGATGCCATCTATAAAACATTTTATAAAAATTTTCTCTTAAATTCTGGGCCTGGGTAAACTTTACATTTCTGACCCATATTATCTCCCACATATCCAATGGAATCGGTTCTTGGATATTTTGAGCCCATTTTACCATACAATCTTTAACTAATTCCATTTCCGAATCCATTTCTATTAAAACATTATAAATCCTCTTTATATGCGCTTGATTCGAATCTTTAATCTGTTTAATCAAATTCTCATCCAATAATGTAATGCCAATCTTTTGATCTAATTTCCACCTGGCCATCAATTGAGTATACTGAAACCAAGACTGTACAACATTTTCTTGCTTTAACTCCTCTAACGATTTTAATTGCCAATCATTCCCTTCCAATCTAAGTAATTCCTTATAAGAAATCCTATCCAAATTGACACCCTTAGATACTCCCTCTATCACGTGTCCAGGAATACCCCAAATTGGTATTTTATAATTTAACTTATAATAATACTTTTTCCAGACACGCAATAGAGCACTTCTTAAAATATGAGATTTAAAAGCCTTATCGACTTTTTTTATTATAAATTAAATATGCATGCCATCCATATAATAAATCCCATCCCTCTAATTGAAGTATACTTGTATTAGTTAAATTAAGCCAATCAGTAACCAATGTTAAAACCACCACATCATAATATAATTTCAAATTAGGTACCTTAAGTCCTCCTCTTTCCCGTGCATCTTGTAAAATCTTCAATTTAACTCTTGGTTCCCCCCCCCAAATAAATCTATTAATACCCTTCTGCCATTCCTCCAAATTGGCATCTTTTTTCAAAATAGGTATCATTTGAAACAGAAAAAGAAACTTCGGTAGAACATTCATTTTAACAGCTGCAATTCTCCCCAACAAAGACAATTGTAATTTTTTCCAATTATTTAAATCCTTTTGTATTTTTAACCATAATTTCTCATAATTATTCTTATACAATTTTACATTAGAAGTTGTAATATATACTCCCAGATATTTAACCTTTTTCACTATTTCAAAACCTGTCAATTTAGCTAACA